AATTATATATATTACATGTTTATACATACCCTTTGGTTAGGACTCACTCTTGAAACCTCTTGAATCAATTCCCACACCCCACCCATCAATCACCGCTCCCACCGTTCCTTTCCGCGCTTGCCCAGGCCGCGGCCAGCCGGCCTCCGATCCGGTGTCGGCAGCAGCTCGGGATCTCGTGCCGGTGCGGATCCGCAGGGAAGACCATGTGACAGAGTGAGACAGGAGGCAGCTGGCAGGACATGGAGCCACAGCCGGCAGCAGAAATCCGCCGGTGGGCAGATTCAGGCGGATTTTTTTGGTTTTGCTCGGAGTCTCGAAGACAGAGCCTAACAGAGCCTGCTGATTTGGGTTTGGTTCTCAAGCTCAACTGAGTCATATTTGGAGATGCGGGGTCAACAGCCTGGTTCCCCACTCCAACTGACTTGGGAGTGCTGTATTTAAATATATATATATAGTAGACCTTTCTTCCTTTTTTCTTTTCTTTGTTTCTAGTAGCGATGCCCTCCAACCTACTGGTACTAGCGATGGATTCCAACCTAAGAGCAAACTAGATATTTCACTGCACTTTGCGCAGCATTTTCCTCGGCTCATCTGAGGCGGCGGCGGGAAACCATTCCACACTACGAAAAGGCCACGTGACGGTGATGGTGCTCATTCAGATGACCTTGACATTTACAGTAAAATATGCAAGATTTGAGTCTCAAACAAGATGACAAGTAGAAGCAACCATGCAAACATGCATGCTCTCAAACAAGAGCCAATAAAAAAGTCTCTAGTAATTAGAGACCTGGCAAAGACAGTGGCAAAGACTTCTGTGGCCATGCATACGATGCAGAGCAATCAGCCAGACAACCCCAGAAATAGAGCTTTGCTTCATTGAACCATGTCTTCACCGGAAGACCCCAAGAATCTGGTGCACCGCCCGAAACCCACTCGGTCAGTGGAAAACCCTTTAACATCATTTGACCTCTATGTTTGGTTTGGGTGTGGGGGACCAGTTTTGGGCTTCCCCACTCGGTTCATCCAACGGACAGTTCGGTTCATCCAGGAATCCATCAACCCTTGATCTGTCCACCCCAAATGGCTTGAGCCCCGCCCCGCTCAGAGAGCCTACCCGTTTCGAGCCCCCGAAGGCCCGAATTCGGCTCGGCGCGCCGCGGCAGGTGCCGAACTGGAACCTGTGGCGGCTCGGAAGTCACCGAGGTTCGGGTGGATCTGTAACAGAGCCCCCGAATTGAGTGATTTGAGTTGGTTGCTTCCAACTCGGGGCTGTGAAGATTCCTATGGCCACAAGCAATCCCGATGGCCCACAAACACCCTTCAATGCAGAATCTCCAATTCAGTGGTTTGAGTTGGTTACTTCCAAATCGGGGTTGGGAGGATCCCTACATTGGATTTGTAAATCCAAGCCAACAGCCCCCCATTCAGGAGTTTTAATTCTTTCATTCCTAAAGCTTTTAAGGATTACGGATTGTAAGGCTGGGTAAGGATTACGGACTACTGCGGATTAAGGATTGTTCGGATTACAAGCATTTTTTGGATTGGCAGGATTGCGGATTAGTTTTGTAATGTTTTGTAGGCGCGCTCATTTTGATGAGCCCAGCTGTTTGGAGCTATGGCAGCTAGACCCATCGGGTCTCCCCCATCGGTGGATGAAAAGCCCCCCCGACGAAACGACCCCTTCTGGAACGAAGGTTCTTCATAGTCCACCTGAAAAACACCTGCAAAGGCAGACAGGAACTCATGGTGAAACCTCCCGGCCGGCCGGCTTGAGAGGCTCGCCACCAATCAAAAACACACGTGACCGGCCCCCGGCCTGAAGACCGGCCCCCGGCCCCTCGGGTCAAAGCGTTTTCATGACCCTGCCAGCTTGGATGAGACGACTGACTAGCAAAGGGCCATGGCCGAATTCATGGCGCCATTCATCGTTCCACTTGATGTTCCCCATGGTGGGAACACCCAGAATGTTCTCCACGAATGTTCCCAACTTGGTGTGCCTTGATCATCCAAGGTGGTCGTTTCCAGCTGGCTGGTGGTGACGCTGATGGGCAGCCATGGACTTCAGGCACCTGCGCTCGGGGTGCCCAAGAACTGCAGGCAACAACTTGAGGGTTCCACAAAACCATCGTTTTGACCGTTTGTCTGCCCCATTTGACACACTCACGCACAGGGCCTTGGGCCTTCTAATGTTTGCTCTTTGAAGCCGAACTATCACGTTCGATGCCAGCGATTGCTGCGCCCCGGTCTTCACCCAGCTGCTCTGCTCAAAACGGGTCCGAGGCTTCAGCAGCTGACGGAGTCTGTGCGCACTGTGGGAAGCTTGGAAGATGGAATCTGAACACCAGGCTACTCCTTTTGACCCGGAAAAAGGCTTAGGGGGTTCAGTTGGACCCCCCGCTCACCTTCATTAAGCAAAATCTTGCATCCGTGAGTCATCTATCCCAAGTTGGTCCAACTTGGGGTAGATGACTCACGGATGGAATAACAGAGATGCTTGATGAGTTAAACTCCGAAATGGATTTGCATCATCAACTCTGAACTCACTGGGCTGTTCATCTTTGACTGCGCAATGCCTCACTTCCCCAGTTTTGAGATCCTGAAGACCAAGATCTCGTCGGCCACGCCAAGGCTTTGGCGGAGAGCTTGCAGGCGATCCGAACAGAACCGCCCTGCTATTCTCATGGTTTCTCAGAGGCGCAGATGCCTGTTTTCTCTGAAATAGGACCAACCCCCTCAACTCATTGGTTCGAGTTCTGAAGTCGTTCATGAATGGATGGAGACCTGTTCTTCGGCGCCTAAACAAATGGAGACCGAACCAAGAACCCATTGGAGCCTGCCAGCCTTCACAGGGTCGCTCAGATCGGCCTGTGAGCCTTTGTGTGCGGCCATGAGTGACTTCTTCTCGGAAGGGATCTCATACCCGTTAGACAACCATTGGGACATGTCGGACATGGGTTCGTTCGAAATGGGGGGCGTTCCTTTGGGGGGTGCAAATGGCGGCTTAGGTTGGATGAATGCATGTGAAAAGTAAACTAACTAATGTGAAAAATTAACTAATGGCTGATTTTATGTCGTTCTTTGGTTAACCTTTTTGGATGACATGAGTTGAACCATGTAGTTATTTTCATCTTCAGATTCTTCGATGAGAAACATGACATGCTTGGACGTTCACATGCTTGGACGGACTCACATGAAACCCGATGCGCATGTCGAGCTGCATCGCAGCGGGCTTCCTGATAGCGCTGCATAGCGCTGTGCAGCCCATGTGCCATGGCCGCCATGGGCTTTCCATTTTACATTGGTTAAAGAAACTCGTCGTGTGTGGCAAGATTCGGAACTTGATCTCTCAGATGCAGTCCCAGTCCCATCCAGTCGTAGCCTCGTTTCCAACGGTGGGATGCTTGGGGGGCCTTTGGAGGGTCCAGTCGTACCTTTTGAGGAGGTACGACTGGATCCCTATAGGGAGTCGTTGGAATTGGTGTGAGCGAAGCCGTCGAGTCAGAAGTTGGACTAAGTCCCATCGACGGGGCGCATGGATCACATGCAGCCTCTGTTAGTTGATGGCCGCGTGTCATGTGTGTCACTGGACGTATAGGCTTTGGTGGCGACTGACCTGCCAACAATTTGGAAAACAGGCTCCATGACCCTTTGAACTGAAGGACACATAGTTCCAAAACCCTTTGAACTGAAATCAACATAGTTCCAAGACTGACTCCTTCAAACTTGGAACTGAATGATTCATTATATGGATCTTCACGGTAACTGCCCATGGACTGCGCCATGCTCGGATGAATTTGTGCGCACAGGTCTGCCAGTCATCCTTGCGTGTGACGGCGCGCCAGCTGGAGTTGGGCTGGATCGAACGAAAGAAGCGGAGTCATTTTCACATCATTGGTTCAAGGGAAACATCTACAGGAAGCCATGGTTTTGGGGGGTGAACACAAGATAACACAAGGGTTTCCTGCAGATGTTCCTTGAAACCAATTCATGGAAATTGGCATTTTCGTGTTTGCTGCGGTTCCACGGCTCAGTTAGAGCTACGGTTCCCCCAGCCTTGCATGAGTTAATATGTTCACTTCTTAACACTCCCTATAGGAATCCAAGTACCTTCTCAGGTACGGTGATTGGAGACACTGCTATGTAGGTTTGGAGGGTCCAGTTGTACCTTCTGAGAAGGCACTTGGATCCCTAGAGACTTTTGTTCAACATCGTTCAACTGGGGAAAGAACCGGGTCATACCAAACCCATCCCGAAGCCCGTTTGGGGCTCCAGTGGTACTTCCTCAGAAGGTGTTTGGACCCCTCAAACCCACTCCACTCCCACCTCCTGAGGAAGTACCACTGGAGCCCCAAACGGGGCATGACATTGGTACAACTCAACTGTGACGGCCTGGACCCCCCTCGGCTGCCGGTGGAATTGATGCCCCGAGCGCCAGGACATGTCTGTGAAAAGCGGGCCTCATCAGAGTCTGATGGAGATCCTACAGGAGGGGTGGCAACAAAGGTGGCGGGTGCCTAGCTGGAAGAATCCGTGGATTCAATTTTGTCATGTTCCATTGTTTCAGCGGAGTTGGATCGTACCTTTCGACAATGCGTTATTTAAGTGGATACAGGGAAGATGATAGAGGAGAACTTGCTCCATGATGGTGGTGAAGTGTAGTCTTGCATGTGACAGTAAAAAAAAGACTTTGCCTGAAGTCATGCATGTGACAAAACTCCTCAACAAGTGGACAGGTTTGTCCATACTCTTGCGTACTCTCGACTAACTCGCATGACAGGAGCATTCACACGAAAGAGGGCACCACCAGAGAGCGGCGAATGCCTTTGGTGTCTGGCACCAAGAACTAGTGGCCGCCAGCTTTCACATATGGTTCCAAACATGACTCCTGCACTTTGACTTCATGGCCCCAACGAGCAGCTGAGCGGAAGAAGACTCATCTTGGGTGCCCTCCTTGGGTCGTCGCCAAGCCACACCTCAAGGCCTCCCAGGTCGCACAGCTCATGCGCCAGGTCCGGTGCCACCCGACTCCGGGGTGGCCGACGTGGTGGAACCCCCACGAACGGCGAACGGAAGCAATCCATGCGACCTGCGAGCCGGAACGAGCCAGAACCTGAAAGGATACAGCAAGCTGGGAGTACATGATATGGCTGTAGGTCCCAGCAGGGGAACCTTGCTTCATCACCATTTTAAATGAACAGAAGGTTCCGCCCCGAGACATGGTCAACCGCCCCTGGGGGGAGTTGCGGTCCGCCTGAGTTCCTCACAGCCATATCTACTTGATTGGAGGTGTGATGAAATACCCATGTAACTATCTAGGGTTTGTCTCATCACCAGTAACAGTCATTGAACAGTTACTGTATCACTATTGTTGAACAAGACCTTTAATTACTATCATCATTGTTGCTGGTATTGGGATAGACACATAGGGGTAGTGGGTACTAGTGAGTCAGGAGTATCCCCCAGCAACTCCCATGTCACCGCACAAACCACAGCAAAAACAGAGGGATACTACCCAGAGTGCAACACTGATATGACAGGAGTTGGAGAGGTGCCAAGCACCCACGTCATGTGGAATACCAGCATCAACAAAATAAGACATGCCAAGAAAGGATGTTTTTGGCCAGTTTTTGTAGAGCGGCGCCTGATGACATAGGACTTGAACACCTATGTAATTTTGAAGTTTTTTCCTGATGACTTGGGTTTCACTTTTTTTCGCCTACCTCCGACAAGTCCTGGGTCACTAGTCCTCAGTATATATGCATGAGTTTTATGATGTTTCTCACCAAATTTGATACACAACCCCCATGTTTGGTAATTTGATGTACTGTAATTTGTATTAATGCCGTGGGGTGCACCCAGGTCATGAGTTTTTGCGCAGATGGACGACTGCAAGTATGTCGGATGGTCAACTCAGATGATGTTTTTCTTGTGTTTTCCAAGTCAGAGAAGATACTTCAAGCTGAAGCACCTTGATGACGTGATCACTGGGTCGGGCCCGTGTTCAGAGACATGCACGCGACTGGCCTTGCCCCTAATGATTTGGAGCATCAAAGGAGCTGGTTTAAACTCTAGCTGATCCATGGCCGAGTGTTGGCAGGAGCGAGAAGGGAAAGGAAGCCACGCTGAACTTCTTGCACACCGGGTGAACTTCACACGTGTGAAGCGGGCAGACTCAGTTGGATGGACATTGACATGAATGGACATATGGCCCAGACATGTGGCCCAAGTTGGAGACGGGGGGGAAACCCCGCAGACCGTCGGTCCCGCCTCAGTTGTATTGAAAATAAAATGAACCAAATCCGCCCATGGGACCTGGATGCGGATCCTATTGATTTGTTCAAGGAACAAGCTCGTCGGAGGGGATGCGATGCCCATGCTGCACATGCGCTTGCTGTTTTGTTGTTTAAAATTGGTTTTACTGTGGATCATTTTTAGTATCCTAATACTATTGTGCTCAACATGCTTGTTCTTTTGCCAGTGTCCGAGTGTCTACGGCAGGGTTGTTCAGTGCCAGCGAAACATTCGACTTCGTTGTTACATCATTGGCCGACCAACCGTTCTCGGCTGCTGTTACATCATTGCCCACCTAAATCAAGACCATGTTTGAAGAGCACAGAGTCGAACTTCGAAGCTCCACACCAGATGGATGCATCCTTTGGAGGGTTCCTCCATACATCCCAGTCAACAAAAAGACATCGCTTTGACCTGAGGGCCAGCTACGAAGTGCGAATCTTCCCAGAGATGCGAGTCGCATCCTTGGTGACGGCGACGAACGACCAAAGGGGCTGTGGAAAAGAATGAGGAACAGCTTCTAGAGTTGTAGTTTGCAAGTGCAAGCGGTGTAAATTTGGCAAGAAGTGTAATATCATGTATATAATTCTGTTCATTTGAACCTGACAGGACAGAAATGCTGCACTTAGGTGAGTTTGGTTTTGGGGAGACATGACCCTGAAGGCCAACACATGTTCCAACTCCCACATGTCATGGGAACATTGTTGCCCAAACCGTATAGAAAGGACTATGATGACGTGTTCATCATTCCCTTTTCCATGTTGGTGAGTCAGAGTCTAGACGAATGGAAGACTAATGAATACTATATGTGTTGTGCTTAACTCAAACAAACTGGTGTTTTTCAACGCAGAAGTTCGAAGAAAACATCGAACATCTCCAGCTGTTCCAACTCGAAGGACTCGAGTCACTGAGACGGAGTGGACGAGTGCAGCAGCAGCTGTCCGCTATCGATGGCTGCATAGATCGGCGGATTTTTGTGTGGAACTAATACCGATCGTGAAAGATATGGTTCTGAGACTAAGCATATACGTACAATTCCTCTTTGGTTGAGAACTGCTTTGGTTCGATCTGTCTTGTTGTTGTTGTTGTTGTTGTTGTGTTTTTCTACGACAGGTCTCCTCTAAAGAGATGGTGCAGCGCATTGATCGTCTTCAAATCTTTAGCAGGCGAGATGGTCCAAGGAACGGGAAGCCGTGTGGTCGAAGGAACGGGATTCCGTCGAGGAAAGCGATAGGAAACCTGGCAGCTTAATATTCTTCGCCAAATAGTCCTGAACATTCAATTGGTAGCACATGGTAGCACTTGTTTTTCTGGCAAACCAAGGAAATGAGCACTTTTTGGAGTGTCGTAGCATGTTCTGATGATGAAACGAGCATGTCACTGCAGTCTTCTTGTGCCAAGGGTGGAAACCTGCAACATGCGTGCAAATTGCCGCAAAACGCGTGCAATTTTGTCGCAAAGCGAGAGCAATTTGACAAGTGGCGAACCACCCTAAAATGGGTTGGATATGAGAGGGATCCATGTGCGTTTTTTGAGTGTTTGTAGCGCTTTTTACTTGAACGAGCACTTCTATGAAGCGAGTTTTTTTTGTTTTTTTCTAGCGAAGGAAGCTCCAGGTTGCGCTTGCCATTGCTTGTTGTAAGCGATTTGATATCCAGCATGCAACTGTATGGTGGTGGCTTACCCAATGTATCCCTGTCACCACTTCTACAATCTACGAATCTACGATCAATCAAGCTCCTAAGCTGTGGGGGTGGATATGTTTTTTAGCAGTGGGAATTCCTTCAAAACGACTACTAGATCCACTGGGGTCTCCCATTTCCATCGCGAAAATGGTCTCTGAATAGGACCAGGTCGAGGATGATGGGTCCAGGATCCAGGTTCGAAGCCCAGGGTCGCTCGGCCCAAACACGCCTGGTGACGATGCAGCCTAGAAGTCAACTTAGACGGTGTTGATTTCCTTCTGACCTTGGATAAATCAAGCGACAGCAGCAGATGGATGTATTTGCTATATCATGCTATATCGTTGTTCTTTCCAATATATCTTCGGGCAAGCAAACATTGTAACACCGAACATGTTTCAACTTTACTGGGGGGTACTCTGTGAGTTCTCGCGACGGCACTCACGGCATTCAACCCTGTCCTGTCCTCTTCTCGACGCGTCTCTCATCGGTCAAGGTTCGCGGATTTGAACCACCTCCTCGTCCGAAGCCTGATCCATCGCCCGGAGCTCCTGGGGACTCGCCTTGGGTCCGAAGCCTTCGTTTTCGCGCCCGGTCGTTCGCCATGAGAGCAAGGGGAGCCGGGGAGCCTGGATGATCCTGGATGGATCGGTAAAAATGGCGGTCCAAAACCTGTGTTCAGTTCATTCAACTTGCACGAACCACACTGCCTGCGAGGGCCACGTGCCTCACGTTCGCCAATCGGCAAGACCAGGGTCGGTCTGGAAGAGGCGACCTGTTGGCTGCTCAACTCAGACTCCAGGGTGCTGGGTTAGCTTTCAATCCTTTCGGGCTGGGGATCAAAACCTGGAACCCCCAAACACCTGCTTGCTTGACCTCTGTATATTGTATTTGATTCTCTTCATGTTCGGTCAGCCAGGCAGGGTCCTCCGGTTGAAAGAACCACGGCCCTGTCTTGTTTCATAGTACACCCTGGAACTGTTTGCATTACCATTTCTCAACGGCAAATGGGGAGGTGTAATTACATTCTAAGTGTTTAATTAATTGATCAAGAATCTACTGTACATGATAATTGTGTTATCATTGTGTCATTAGTCGAGAGTGCACAATATAGGTTCAATTAATCAGGAGTCTACATGAATAATCAAGAGTCTACATTATAGTTTTGCTATTCAAGAGTCTGCATTCTTATAAGGCTTCTACTAATCAAGAGTCTACAATCTAGGGTAGTTATATTAATCAAGAGCCTACATTGCAAGGGTGTTATGAATCAAGAGTCTACCATATAAGGGCTTAATTTGTCAAGCGTCTACATTGTAAGGGTGTGATTACTCAAGAGTCTAGATTATAAGTGTTTTATTTATATATCATGGTTTATTAATCAAAGGTGTTATTGCTGAAGAGTCTACATTATGAGGGCTATATTAATCAAACATCTGCATCATAATTGTTTTACTCGTCAAGGACCTATAAGCAGGCTTTTGTAATCAGGAGCCTACATTACAAGGCTTTTATTAAATTAAGGGTCTACATGATAAGGGTTTTATTCATCAAGGGTCTACATGAGCAAAGTGCATAAAATCAGAGCTCACATTTTCAGAAAACATGGAAGTGTCAATTTTCCTTGAAACATCGATAGCAGTCCCAAAAACAATTCCTGACCTAGCCTTATGGCTGTGCACATTTGGGCGTCACGTCGATTGTCTGTGTGTAGCCGTAGCCTCCTTCCCGGAAGTAGAAGCAAGATAGATTAATGATACCTTAAGTCTTTTTGTTCGCACCTATTGGCTTGCCTTTGTGCAAGGCGGCACAGTAGTGACAGCAATGCCGAAAACGATGCCAAACGATACCCGCATTGTATGTGAACGGATGCCTTGGGAAGCCAGTTGCCACTTGCATGGATACGACATGATACGACATGCGGTTGTGGGAACTTGCTTCCCTCACTCTTCGAACGTTTTTGACCCGACTAAGCAGCATGCAGTAATGAACTCGAAGCTTGTTTGAGATCTTGCATCCACTCTCACCATCGGCAATCTCAGCACTCCTGGAAAGGTAGACACTACCTGACCAAAAGATCTAAGTGACCAATCGTTAAAACGATAGCAACCCAGAAATGTACCCTAAAACTTCCACTGTCCGGGTCCCCTAGTTTGGCCAGTCACACTATCAGGCCTGTAATAATCAAGAGTGTCCCTGAGGATCGCTGTAGGAAACTATTACCAACGTTGAAATGGTGGTTCTCAGAACTCACGAATGGTATGTTGGCTCTGAGCGCTGACGTTCACGAAAGGCCAAGTCACATGTGAGATTCAGGCTACTGGAAAGCCTGCTGGTATGTGGATTGCACATATTTTGTCACATTTACAGGCACATAGCCAGATAGTGCATGGTAATCAGTTAACTGTACTATATATCTTCGAACAGATGCACCCGTCGCTGGCATGGCCCCATCTGTGACCGCAACTATACTGCTATGTGCTTAGTTGGATGCGTCTCAAATTCGTGGTGTATGATCCAGTGGGTCATCGATGTCCCAATTCCCAGGTGGGTCTTTGTCAACATGGAGCGGGCAGCAGCCATGTCGTTGTGCCAGGGGCTCATGGCACAGAGTGGTACCATCTTATTTTTTGTTCCCGTACACATGGTCTTGAGTAGGTGTTGTGGCAGTGATCTGAGGTGAGTTTGAGGATATCCTTCCAGAGGAGCCTCCAACGGTGAGGCCCTATATTCTGGAAGGTACGCCCCTGGCCTCCCCATTCAACTTTGTTTCGTTGCTCAGTTTCTTTTTTGGACCATGGCTACCTGCACTGTGCCTGCCTGTCCATGCACAAGCAAGGGCTCAACCTATAGTAGAGTGCCAGCAGGAGAAAACAAAATGGTTGCTCCTGTTTCTGGGGTTGCTGGCCATGGACGTGAGTCAACGTTGGGGAAGCCAGAAGCTTGTATTAATATGCTGCATATATTGAAGCACTTATTCATGTTTGCTCGTCGTTCGTGCGCGGTTGACCTTCTGAATCGTAAGGAGGGTAACCTTTGTGGGAAGGATACCACGTTCATTCTTCTGGAAGATGTGATCGTTCAGTGGCTGAATGCTGAACCCTCACGGATTCCAAGCATCAGAGATTCTAAGGATGCAGTGTGTTTCTTCTTGGCAAGTGAGCAACGCAACAACCTACTCTATTGGCTCCGTGATTTCATGCTTCGAAGGACAGGAAGGTCTTCAAGCTGGATTCTAATGGAATTGCATCGGTTGAGGCCGTGGCTCCCTCAGATTTCGTGTTAGTTTTCCCAAAGCAATCGTGGTGGGACAAAGACATGCATGCCCCGCCAAGTTGGAAAACAACTGGGAGTTCCTGGTGGAGTTTTACGCTACCTTTGCTCCACATTCGCTGCCGCATCAAACAGCTTTCAAGGCTGCGACTCTCTTTTCTTTTTCACAGACGCGGTACAAGAGTGCTGATGATCTGCACTTTTGTTGTGAGTCAACGTTCTTCTTTCTAGTGCATTGTTGTTTATCGAAGTCCTTTCAATCTGTCAGAAAATCTTCTATGCCTGCGCCCTACGGTATGGTTTCTTTGCACCTCAAACTCCCAAGAAGACCATAAAGGCTTGGCTTGCTGTTGTTTACAATCCTTTTGTACTGTATTTCATCTAGTACTAGAGCTTGGGGTGAGACCTGTTTCGCAGGCCTGGGCTGGCATCACTGCTGGAGTTGCTCGTGGCATTGCCGTCCATGGCCTAACTCTTGCAGGAAGGTCTGAAGGGTCCAGGCCAGTTCACTCAAGTCTTTCTGGAGTCTTTGGGGAACTGCTGCTGATATCTAAAAGGTCAGCAATTGTGAATACATGACCACCTAGTCAGGCGGAAAGCTGTTTTGCTCATCAAGCAAACCATCAAAAGAGCACTGGAAGAGAGTGGACAAGGCTTGGTGTACAACCCTAGTGTGCAGCTTTCAAGGGTTGACTGCTGGGGAGGTGATATGCCCATTGCAGACTGCATGGCTGAGGACCAGGTGTGCAGCCTAGAAACATATTGAAACCATGAGTCACTGTGATCCTTAAGTTCTGGAGCCACTTCACAGTTCCAACTAAGTTTTAAAGACTTGATATTGTGTCCGTGCTACATGTGTCACTATGCACCGTCAACCTGAGGAGCAGGACACACCGTCATCAAGTTCTGCAGCTGAGATGGAGGTAAAGGAACCTGCCGGTGACAATGTGAAGAAGGCACCTGGTTGACTCTATACTTCAATTTCTAAGTCTATCGCTATGATCCCATTGTCTTGCCTTTAAGCTTGCAGTCATTCAGGGATTGGATCGTATCGGTGGGAGTTTGAGGCTTTGTTCATTCACCCCGATGCCGCGGAAACCCTGCCACTGGACCTGGGAATGCCAACTCCCTTGAACGAGGAATGTGTGAACACTGCGTCACAGCAAAGTTCTTTGAATTTAATGCTGGATTGTTTTGATTTGCTGCGATATCAACCCTCCACTTCACCCCGTCTTAACCACGCATGCAGGATGTTCACCCCGAGAAACCTGAAGAGCGGAGGCAAGCCTTGCAGGACCCGCATGGCATTGAGCACAATGACCTCAGCCCAGAAATGTTGTTGCATGCAGTTCAACAACAGCAGTTTTCCAATTATAACATTAGTGGGATAGGTGAGTCCGTCGATCTAGGAGTCGAAGCCGTTGCTGGTGGCTCTTTCATCAGTGGATGCTTCACTGGAGGCTCTCTGCAAGATGGTCTTCTTGCTGATTCATAATCTGGGTTTGATTGAGTTGATATTTATGCATTCTGCGCAGGAGCAAGTTGAAAAAATGTGTGTCACCACTGCGGAAGATGGTGATATTGATCTTGTGAAGGCTCAAGCTAAGGTGAGCGGAATATCTGAAGCTGTGCGGCCTTTTACTCACTGCATGTTGCATATGCGTTATTAATATTAATTCATGAAAATTTACATACAACGCGAATGTCCCTGCTGACAGGTCAAAGCTGCTTTTCGTAAGAGTGCAAAGCAACCTGATGACAGGGATTGCGCAAAGGAGCCTGAGGCAAAGGCAAAGGCGCGAGGTCGACCTCGAGGTAAAGCAAAAGCCAAGGCTGCATGTGAAGCGCCCAAGTCGACAGCAGGTGAAACAAAGGCAAATGACGAGGCAAGACCAGCTGCCACAAACACAGGTGGGGAGCCAGAGGGGACCAACAAGCATAATAATGCTGACAAGCGAAAGGTATCCAACGTCGCCGATACAAACCAAGGTTCCCCGAACAAGCGACCTCCAAAGAAGCGAGCAGGTAATAAGGACAAGTCGTCAGTAGGTGACGCAGGGGACGGGGAAGAGGCTGCACTGAAGGAAGCTTGGGCCCAGCAGGACTTATGGCTGTGGTTGCAAATTGTCAGCACTTGCGCATCTTTGCACGTAGACGTTTATCTATATGCTTACCTTCTGTGGATGGGAATCCTCTGGAGCGATTCAGAAGCAAACTAACTCCAGGAACCCTTGCTGAAGAAGGCTGGTGTGCCAGTGCCAGCAGGC